GCAAGAAAATGGAAGGAATTAGAAATCATCACACTAAGCAAAACAAATCAGACTCTGAAAGACAAATATCACACGTTTTCTCTCCTGTGCAGAATCTAGATTTAAAAGAAATACATAAGACAAGAAGGAAAGCTGGGCACAGTGACACATGCCTGTAATCTCAACACTTGGGAAGCTATATCAGGAGAACTGTGAATTCCAGGCCAGCCTGGGTGAGACTCTGTCAAGGAAGGAAGAGAGGGAAGGAGAGAGAAAAGAAGAGAGGGAAAGAAGAGGGGTGGGAGGGATGGAAGAGGGAAGGAAGGAAGAGAGGGAAGGGGGAGGGAATGGGGGAGGGGCAGGGGGGAGGGAAGGACAGAAGAGGGAAGGGTTGTTTTCTGGAGCTGCTGGTCCATCTTGTATTCCCATCAGCCATATATGAGAACAGCTTTCTTCGCAGCCTCTGCAGCATTTAATCTGATCAGTGTTGTTATTAGTCACTCTAAAAGTCAAGCCGTAGAAGCTCCATGCGGGTTTAATTTGCATTTTCACTAATGGCTTTCAGTATTGACGTCTTTGCTGTGTTTATTGCGATATGTTGGCCTCCTCCGTGAATTATCTGTCGTGTCTTCTGTCTGTTTTCTTTTACGTTGTTTGCTGGGGTTTTTCAGATGAGTTTTGTTTTATTTGCTTAGTTTTTTGATGTTATTATGTTTTTGTTTTTGTTTGTGGGGTTTTCGGTTAGGGATGTTAGTTCGTTTGTTTATTGAGACACAGTCTCACTGTGTAGTCCTGGCTAGCCTGGAATTTGCTATGTAGACCAGGCTGGCATCGAACTCAGAGATCTGACTGCCCCTGCCTCCCCAGTGCTGAGAGCAAAGGCGTGAGCCACCACACCGACCTCCACTTAATCTTCTGAAGCAGGGTCTCTCACTGAACCTGGAGGTCTCAGATTTGGCTAGGCTAGCTGGCCCACAAGCTCCAGGGGTCTCCTGTCTTTGCCTGCCCAGTGCTGGGATTGCAGGTGCTGTCACTGTGCTGGGCTATTTATGTGGGTACTAGGGATCCAAATTCAGGTCTTCACACTTGCCCAGAAGCACTGGCTGCTCTTGCACAGGGCTCAGGTTCAGTTCCCAGCGCACCTACTTGGTGACTAACGATCATCTGTAACTCCAGTCCCAGGGGATCTGATGTTCTCTCTGGCCTTTGTGGGCATTGCACTCACATAGTACACTTACACACACGCAGGCAAAACACTCATACACATAAAATAAAAATAAATAGGCCAGGTGTGATGGTGCACACCTTTAATCCCAGCACTTGGGAAGCAGAGGCAGGGGATCTCTGTGAGTTCGAGGTGAGCCTGGTCTACATAGCGAGCTCCAGGCCAGCTGGGGCTACAGGAACACCCTGTCTCAAAAAGAATAAATAAATAAATAAATAATCGAAAAAGCCAAAGAAGAAACAATACATTAAAAAATAAAATGAGCCGGGTATGGGGGTCACATCTTTAGTCCCAGCACTCAGGAGGCAGAGACAGGAGGATCTATGTGACATCAGGGTTATTCTGGTCTTCATAGCAAGTTCCAGGCCAGCTGGAGCTACAAGGAGAGCCTGCCTCAAATAAAAAGAAAACAGGGGCTGGAGAGATGGTTCAGCAGTTAAGAACACTGACTGTTCTTGCAGAAGATCCGGGTTCAAATCCCAGCACCCACATGGCAGCTAACAACTGTCCATAACTCCAGTCCCAGGGGATCAGACAGCCTCTTCTGACCACTGCAGGCATTGCACAACACGGGTGCACTTACCTACATGCAGGCAATACGTGCATACGTATAAAATAAAAACAATAAATAAAATTTTTTAAAAAAGAAAACAGATAAATGTAGTTTTTTTAAAAACCCAAGAGGCCTCCAGGAGATTACTAAACAATCAACACTTGCTGGGGAAGAAGAGACTCACACTGGGGTGGACTTTTTTTGTGACATAGCTGCAGAGTCCCCCACAGTCCTGTGAGTAACCCCAACAAACCCTGGTTCTCTAAGGTGGACTGGGTCCTTTCTTTGGCCTTTCATCATCTCTATGTGAAGAGAATTCATGCAACAGAAACAGGCTGGAGTGGAGGGAGAAATTTATCATACTTACCTGCCCCCGAGAGTGAGCACCCTAAATATCACACCTTCTGTCTCTCATTTGCCTCACTGCACCCCCAACCCTGAGAAGGTTAGGGCCCTTAGACAATGCAGGAATTATTCAAGGGCACCTCCAAGTTGACCTACTAATGGGGAAGCTGCGGTCTATTTTTTAATTTATTTTATTACATTTATTTATTTTAAGGTGTTTGGAAGGTGTGGTGATCAGAGGACAATTTGTGGGAGTTGGTTCTCTCCACCATGTGCATCCCAGGGATCAAACTCAGGTCCTCAGGCTTGGCTGCAAGCACCTTTACCCACTGATCCATCTCACTGGCCTGAAAACTGTCATATTTATTCCCAGCTCTATTCCTGGTTAGGGATGGTTCCTGAGAGAAGCAATTCTAGTACTTCCGGCTTGCTGTGCATATTCACAGTAGAGAGACCTCAAACCCCACTGGAGAAACAGAAAGATCCAAGCACATGGGGTGGGAAGCTGTCAGTGTGTGGGGAGTGCCCACCATTTCCATGAGTGAGTGAAAAAGTGGGCCCCTGAGATGTGGTGGGAGGGTGCCAGCTGGTGTGCTACAGAAGAGTCTAGAAAATCTCCCCCACAGGAGACAGGTGTGGGTCCTATGGGGATTGGGAGCTGGAGGCAACCTGAGTGCCCATCTCTGGGGGAATGGGTAAATAAATTCACTGTGTGAGCTCCTTGCATCCGTTACAGACAGGGATGTCCGCAGCTATATGGGGACAATCAAATTTTTAAAAAAAAAAGGAACAAGTAGATTTATAGCACAATCTCATTTGCGTAAATTGGAAGCACATACACACATACAAAGTCACAAATTAAAAAGGTGCATCTTTGGAGGCTATATATCAAGTGTGCTGAAGTGGGTGTCTGGGAAGGGGACGGGTGGGAGTAGTAAAGTGGAGAGGAGGGGAGTCTTTTATGGGCCAATTGTGGTTCTGCGTTATGATCTGGAGAGTGTGTGACTAACAACTTTGAGTACCTAACGACTAGCAAGAAATGATGGAATAAAAATGCAGACACATCAGAGCAATGTCGTTCATACTCATTTGGCATATGTGATTACTGTAGGGTGACAGACCCTTCTCTAGCCCCCTTGGAACCCAACCCAGAGGGTTCCAGAAAGTGCCCTTGTCCCCAGAAAGTGAGGCATTCTTTTCCCCCTTGTGTGTGTGTGTGTGTTCATGTGCACACATGTGTGCATATGTGTGTGTCTACACAGATGCAAGAGTCTCAGTCACTCTTCACCTATTTTGGGGATCTCTCATTGAACATGGGAGTTTACCAATTGTCTAGACTGGGACCAACAAGCCCCAGGAATCCTCCTGTCTCCCACCACCCCCTGCATGGAATTACAAGCACTGCTCTTTACATGGGTACTGGGGATCCAAACTCAGGACCTTATGCTAGTGTGGCAAACACGGCATCAACCAAGCCATTTCCCCAACTCCCCTCCATCCCTTTGTTTTTTGAGATGGTCTTGCTATATAGCCCAAGCTGCCCTGGAACATTTGATCCTCCTGTGTCCATATTCTGAGTGTTGGGGAGTACAGGCATGTGCTACCACACCCAGGTCTGCCTAAGTTCTGGTCCCATCTATCAACTGCATATACAGTGGGGTGAGTACAAAGAAGTCTGTACTCTAAACTGTCAATAACCAGCCATGGAACAAGTCACTCTGCCTTCTTGGGTCTAGACTTCATCATTGGAAAAGAGTTAGGATTCTCTCCTGAGAGACAGAATGCTTAACAATATTGTAGCCAGTCATGGACCACCACACTCAGTAAGAGAATGTGTAATGTAGAGTTCTTTTTTAATTTTTTTTTGTCTTTTTTTGAGATAGGGTCTCCCTGTAGCCCCAGCTGTCCTGGAACTCACTATATAGACCAGGCTGGCCTTGAACTCATAGAGATCTGCCTGCCTCTGCCTCTCGAGTGCTGGGATTAAAGGCATGCACCACCACATGGCATATTTATTTATTTTTATTTTATGTATATGAGTGTTTGCCTGCATGTATGTATGTGCACCACATGCATGCAGTGCCTGTGGCAGGCCAGAAGAGGGATCAGATCCCCTGGAACTACAGTTACAGGCATTTGTTAGCCACCATGTGAGTGCTGGAAACAGAACCTGTGTCCTCTGCAAGAACAGCCAATACTCTTAATGGCTAAGCCATCTCTGCAGCGGCTGTGAATGTGGAACTCTGCCATCCAAGGGCAGAAGAGTGCCCAGTTCAGAAGAGCATGGCCCTGCCTCTTTCATCAAAGCCCCCTTCAACAGGAGGCTCAGGGCTGGTGCTGAATAAAGGCAGTCCCCCATTCTCACACAACTCACTGACGCACAGGCCTGCCTCTTCCCCAAACACCCGCAAATACCCAGAAATGAAGCCTTTCCAGATACCTGGCTACTTTCTGATCATGCCAACACCTAAAATTAATCCTCACGATCAAGGCAGCAGTTACTCATGGGAACCTTAATGTGATGCAAGTTCCTTTCTTGAACACTTTGCCTCCGCAGTCAGGCAGCCACATTCATACACATACAAGTCCCCCACCCCAGTACCCTGTCCCTCCAACTCAGTCTAATTTGGGGAACCCAGCCTTTGATGTCCTCAAAAAGACTGGTTTTGCAGACTCCTGACACTAGATTCAGTTTCTCTTTCCTTCTTTGTCAGCCCCAATACACCTGGCCACACCCACACCTGTTCACTCAGTGGCCCCAGGACTGGCTCCACCTACAGGCACGGTCTGGTTTACTTTCATTCTTTTTTCCACTTTAGACACATCATCAGGAATGGCATGTGTTGCCCAGCTTAAAAAGAAGAGCCATGCAGCCTGGGAAACACTGGAGACTTCAGCATGGTTGCAGTGTGGCTGCTGCTCCCTGCAGCCATAATGCTGGGCTTGGCCATAGCTGCTCCTTTCCCTCCTTCCAAGCCCACCACTGCCAAGACTAGCTGCCATATTAACAGCTTCCAATCTCTGTCACAACAGGAGTTAAATACCTTTAAGAAAGCCAAAGATGCTTTGGTGAGTTGCCAATACCATTATGGGCTAAACTATACCACTCCCACTAGGGTGAAGATGCTAGCCTGCTTCTGTGGAATAATCTCCAACTTTCTCCTATGGGCTAGCCTCAAACCTTCCCACTATAGCTAATCTCTATCCTTTCTAATACAGGTTCAGCTCAAATCCTCTTGCCAGTCCAAGCCTTCAAGCCTCTTGTATAGGCTAACCTGTGCCCCTTTCTCTTAAGGAAGAGACATTGCTGCAGAAGGATGTCAGGTGCAGTACCAAGCCATTCCCCAGTGGCTGGGACCTGAGACAGCTTCAGGTGAGTTAGAAGCCAGCCACATTTACCTTGTCCCTCCCTTCTTCTGTGGCTGCTCTAGACCCATCCCCCTTGCCTGTAGCAACCCCTACATCCCTCAACTGCCTCCATTACACCCATTCTTACCTAGTTCCTTTTCTTCACTCTCTTTTTGGTGGGAAGAGGACACAGGGTCTCACTATGCAGCCAAAGCTGGCCTCCATCTTGAAATCTTCCTGCCTCAGCCTCCCAAAAGCTGGGATCATAGACATGTGCTACCACATCTGACTCATCTCTCTCTTCGTGTCCCCAGCCTGTCCCCAACCTGTGCCCCTGTCCTGGGCCCCACTTGTCTGCTCTACACACGAGTTATCTCTCCTTCCCCTCACACATCCTCTTTCCACTGTCACTCATCTCTCACAATGATCCTCTTCCAGCCTGTGCTTCTCTTCCTCCTCCTATCCATGCAGCCTCTCCCTTTCCCCAGCCTCTCCCTACCCTGTTCTCTTCCCAACTCTCCTTACCCCATCTCCCCATGAATCCCTCACTTCTGGATCTCTCTTGCCCATCCATCACCTGTCCCCACTGTGTGTCCCACAACACCTTCCCCCTGCATTGCACTCCCTACATAGCCCCATGTAGCTGTGCCTTTGGGGATTGGCAGAAGGTGTGTGTGTGTGTGTGTGTGTGTGTGTGTGTGTGTGTGTGTGTGTGTCTGTGTGTCTGTGTGTCTGTGTCTGTGTGTCTGTCTATCTGTCTGTCTGTGTTGTCTGATGACAGAGATTCAATTCAGACCTCATGCAGGCTAGGCAAGCGTTGAGCTATGCTCCAGCCCCTCACTGGGGTTTCTAGGTAGGTCCTCTACCGCTGAGCCACACCCCAGCCCCGCACGGGATTCTAGGCCGGTGCTCTACCGCTAAGCCACACCCCAACCCTTCACTGGGGGATTCTAGGTAGGTCCTCTACCACTGAACCACACCCCAGTCACGCACTGGGGGATTCTAGGCAGGTGCTCTACCGCTGAGCCACACCCTAGCCCCTCACTGGGGGATTCTAGGCAGGTCCTCTACCGCTGAACCACACCCCAGCCCCTCACTGGTGGATTCTAGGCAGGTGCTCTACCGCTGAGCCACACCCCAGCCCCTCACTGGGGGATTCTAGGCCGGTGCTCTACCGCTGAGCCACACCCCAGCCCCGCACTGCGGGATTCTAGGCCGGTGCTCTACCGCTGAGCCACACCCCAGCCCCTCACTGGGGGATTCTAGGCCGGTGCTCTACCGCTGAGCCACACCCCAGGCCCTCAATGGGGGATTCTAGGTAGGTCCTCTACCACTGAACCACACCCTCAGCCCTCACTGGTGGATTCTAGCCAAACACTCTCTGAGTCACACCCCAACCCTCACCCAGGCCTTCTTGCCTGTTTCCTCTCTCACCTCTTCTTCCTCAATTCTCCTTAGGTGCAGGAGCGCCCCGAGGCCTTGCAGGCTGAGCTGGCCCCGACGTTGAAGGTTCTGGAGAGTGTGGCTGAACCATCCCTGAGGACCCTCCTGTATCAGCCTCTTCACACACTGCGCCACATCCGCTCCCAGCTGCATACCTGCGTGAGTCCTGGGTCCTCTTTCATCCACGGTAGTCGTGGCTCCGCCCATATGGGCTTCCCCTTACCCCAGCACAGCCTCACAGCCCCCCATCCTCTGCCCACAGATCCCGGGTCCACCCATCGCAGACCCCAGGCCCCAGAGCCACCGCCTCTCCCACTGGCTGCACCTGCTCTGGAAGGCCCAGAAGAAGGTGGGACTCGGGAGGGGACCGAGGTGGGCAGCACCTGGGAGCCCTGACCCCGGGCAGCCCCTGAGCCAGTCCTGTCCCCACAGGAGACTCCTGGTTGCCTGCAGGCTTCGGTCACCTTCAATCTCTACTGCCTGCTCACCCGGGACCTGAAATGTGTGGCCAGTGGAGACCAGGGTGTGTGAATACTCAGGCCCATCCTAGCCCATTGGGGACCCCTGGACTCTATGCATTGGACCCCACCCCTGCCTTAATTTATTTCCTCTGGCCTTTAACTTACCAGAGCTGCAGCTCAGGCTGTTTATTTTTCTACTTTAATACAATATATACAAGTAAATAGCAAGGAATTGGAACCTTCTGTGTTATGGGAATCCTTGAGTTCTGTGTGACTGTTGGTATGTGACTTGGTATGAATGTCTGTGTGGTATAGACAATATTTGGGACTGTGTATTTGTGTGTCCATCTTCTGGGATGTGTATCCAGGTGACCACCTCCCCAAATCTAAGGCTAATCAAAGATTCGTCACTTGACCCATGCCTGCCCACCTGGGTGAACTTGTTTACAAACATATTTGTAAATCTCTTCCTGTGTATGTGCACTGTGTATATCACTCATACATGTATTTCTAGAGTGGAGAGGGGTCTTTATCAGTCAAGATGCTGTCTCCCATAACAAATAATCAGAAATCCCAACTCAGGCTGGGCTTCTGGTTCAGCTGGTGAAGTGTTTGCTGTACAAGAATGAAGACCTGACAGGCTGGAGAGATGGCTCAGCGGTTAAGAGCACTGGCTGCTTTTCCAGAGGATCTGGGTTCAGTTCCCAGCACCCACATGGAGGCTAGCAACGGATCCTAACTCCAGTTCTATGAGAATCTGACAACCCCTCCTGGCCTCCTTGGGCATTGCACAACATGAGTACACTTACATACATGCAGACAATACACTTATACACATAAAATAATAAATAAATCAAAAAATAAAAATAACTATACAACCGCATATTTAAAAATACAAATGAATAAAAAATTTTTTTAAAAGATGTGTAGTATGCCAGGTGTGGTGCTACACAACTATAATTCCAACACTCAGGAGGTAGAGGGAGTAGAATCAGGAGTTCAAAGTCACCCTAGGCAAATATCCAGTTCAAGGCCAGCTTGGGCTGTTTGAGATCCTATCTCAACAAGCAACAGCAAAAAGATTCACTTGGGAGTCTGGGGAGGAAGCTTTATCCCCGAAAACCTGCCCCTGGGAATGTGAAATGCCCCAACTTATTTAGAGGCCACAGCAAAGAGAATGTGAGGAGGAGCTGCCTGACAGAAGCCTAAGCTAACCAGGGAGCTTGCCACTTCCTGTTTGTCTCACAGGCTGTTGTGTAGTGAATCTCCCATGATGCATCACTTGTTTGTATGCTTTTGTGTGTGTATGTGTGTCCATGTGAATGCAGATGCAGGTGTATGTGCATACACATGAAGTCCAGAGGACAGTCTCCACTGTCATTCCTTGGGAGTTGTCCACTTTGTTTTATTTATTTATTTATTTATTTATTTATTTACTGTATTGACTGCATGTGTGTGAGTGCACCTGTGCCGTACAATGCTGTGGAAGTCAGAAGAGGGATTTGGAATCCCCTTGAACTGGAGCTAAAGACAATTTGTAGCCTACATGTGGGTGCTGGGAAAAAAACCTGGGTCCTCTGCAAGAGCAGTCAGTGCTCTTAACTGCTGAGCCACCTCTCCAGCCCCAGTAATCAACACTTCAAATCTGTATTCTCAGACAGCATGAAAGAGCAAAAATTAGGCTGGCCTTAAACTCACAGAGATCTGCCTGCCTCTGCCTCCCAAGTACTAGGACTACAGGCGTGTACCACCACACCCGGCTCAAAATAAATTGCTTTTAATGTGTATGAGTGTCTTGCCTGCCTGTATGCAGTACACCACATGCATGCAATGCCTACAGAGGCCCAAAGAGGGTGTCAGGTCCTTTGGAACTGGAGTTTAAGGATAGTTGCTAGCCACCATGTGGGTATTGAAAACTGAACCCAGATCCTCAGCCAGAGCAGCCAGCGCTCTTACCGGTGGACCATCTCTCCAGGCCCCCAAAATAAAATAAATCTTTAAAAATTCCTCCTGAGTCGGATATGGTGACACAAGCCTTTAGTCCCAGCACTTGGGAGGCAGAGGCAGGCAGATCTTTGTGAGTTCAAGGCCAGCCTGGTCTACATAGTGAGTTCCAGGACAGCTGGGGCTACATCCAGACCTACATGCAATTAACATGGCCAGCCCTCTGTATTCATGGGCTCTCCACCCATACATCCAGCCAACCTCCAATGGGAAATGTTCTACCAAACCCATCCTGCTTCTGTACTGAACAAGTCTACATTTCTTGTGATCTCTCCAAACACAGCAGAACTATTCCCACTGCAGTTACATTATATTCAGTCTGATCCTCAACTGCAGATTTAAAGGGTACAAGAGGGTGTGCGTGGGCTCCTTGTACATCCTGAGCTGTTTTGAATGAGGGACTCCAGCATCTCTGGACTTTAGTAACCTGGGGGTCCTGGATCCCATCACCTCAGAGCACCAAGGAATAGATGTGTATGCTGAACAACAACAAACCCCTCGTTCTGGAGGTCCCATTTTGATGAAGAGTTAACTCACTGGGAAAATGCTCTGTGTGTCCTGTAATTCAGAAGCATGCTCTGTGCTAAGAGCGGTGCTGCATATCTGGGATCCCAGCTCTCAGGAGGCTGAGGGAGGAGGAGTGGGAGGTCAAGGTCAGCCTGGGCTACAGAGTGAGACAGAATTAGACCAGGCTGCTCTCAAACTTAAGATCCTTCTGTCTCAATCTCCCCAGTTCCAGGATTAAAGGCATGAAGCCAATACACCAACATGTCAAGTCTTTGTGTGTGTGTGTGTGTGTGTCTATGTGTGTGTTTGTGTGTTTCTCTCTCTCTCCCTCTCTCTCTCTCTCTCTCTCTCTCTGTGTGTGTGTGTGTGTGTGTGTGTGTGTTGTGTATGCACATAAGTGTGTGGGTTTATGCAGAGGCTAGAGCAAGATGTTGGGTGTCTTCCTCTATCTCTGTATCTCTGTCTACCTTATTGCCTTGAGACAGGGTCTTCCACTGACCTTGTGCATGAGTACAGGTTCCCTCAAGACCAGAGGTGTTGGCTGTCCTGGAGCTACATAGTTACAAGCAGTTGTGAAACACTCCAACAACAATATATGTGCTGAGAACCAAACCTAGGTCCTTTGAAAGAGCAGCAAGTACTTTAAAGCACTGAGCCATCTCTTCCGCTCCGAAGTTTCTGGTGTTTTGTTTGATTGGTTTTGATTTTGGAGGGGAGGAAGGTTGAGACAGGGTCTCACTATGTAGCACTGGTTGGCCTGGAACTTGAGATAGAGACCAGGCTACCCTCAAACTCATACAGATCCACCTACCTCTGACTCCCAAGTGCTAGGATCAAAGGTATGTATCCTGTATCTTCACACCTGGCCCATTGTAATTTTTTCTGTGTGTCTTTTTGAGACAGGGTCTCCCTGCAGCCCCAGTGGACCTGGAACTCACTATGTAGACCAGGCTGGCCTCAATCTCACAGAGATCTTCCTGCCTCTGCCTCCCAAGTGCCGGGACTAAAGCTTGCACCACCACACCCAGCTTTTTTGTATTTTAAAAGAAATGCTATTTTATTTTATTTTACTTTATTTATTATTTTTATTTTATGTGTATTCGTGTATTGCCTTCATGTAGGTAAGTGCATCCGTATCATGCAATGCAGTGGAGGTCAGAAGAGGCTGTCAGATCCCTTGGAACTGGAGTTACAGACAGTGTTTAGCTGCCATGTGGGTGCTGGGATTTGAACCCAGGTCTTCTGCAAGAACAGCTAGTGTTCTTAACCGCTGAGCCATCTTTTCAGCCCTTTGTTTGTGTTTTTTTTTTTAAGACAGAGTTTCATATAGCCCAGACTGGCTTCAAACTCAATATGTAGCTGAGGATGACTTGAGCTCTTGATCCTCCTGCCTCTACCTCCTGAGTTCTGGGATCACAGATGTACTCCACCAAGCCTGTTTGTTTGTTTAGTGTTTTTCTTTTCATATTAGGTCTCACTATTTGTGGCCCAGGTGACTTGGAATTTGAGATCCTTCTGCTTCAGCCTCTGAAGTGCTGGGATTCTAGGCATGTACTGCCAGGCCCATTGGTTTGTCTATTTTGTTGGTTGCTGTAGTCCCTGCGCTGGGCTGGGCATATGGTGCATGAGCAATAAAGCTTTGAGTGAACTGAGGATGACATAGTCTGATGCTTAGGCACACAGGATTTGGAGGGCATTAGGCGCTCAATCATGGCTCTGTATATCCTGGCTGTGTGAGCTTAGATAAGCTCCTCAACCTGTCTGAGCTTCAGTTTCCTAATCTAGAAAGTTTGATGTATGTAAACTGGATGCTATGGTGCACCTCTATAATCCCAGCACTTTAGTGGCAGGTGGAGGCAGTAGGATCAGGAGTTCAAGGCTGGCCTTAGCTGCATAATGCCAGCCCAAGATACATTCAAAAGGACTAAAGAGATGGCTCAATGGATAAGAGCCCTTGCTTGGTGAGCATGAAGACCTGAGATAGAACCCTCAGCATCCACATTAAAAAATCAGGCATTGGCTGCATTGGGCATTACAGATAAATCTTGAGTTTACTGACCATCCAGCCTAACCAAAAAGACCAAGTTTCTGGTTCAGTGAGAGACCCTGTCCCAGGGGAATAAGAGTGCTAGAGGGTGGTAGAGGAAGGCACTGGGCTTCCGGCTCTTGCTTCTGCATGCATGCACACAAGGTCACACATCTACACATTCGGGTGCATGCACCACACACATACACGAATGCACACGCACACGCACACACACACATTTTTAAAGGGTTATAGCTCACTCAGTAGAGTGCTTGCCTAACATGCATTGAGGCTCTGGGCTCCATACCTAGTACTACATAAACCAAGAGTAATGGTGCATACCTGTCATCCCAGCACTCAGGAGATGGAGGCAGGAGGATCAGGCAACTCTGAGACCAGCCTGGGCTCCATAATACTTTGGGGGAGGGGAAGAAGGGAGAGAGAGTGAGAGAGAGAGAGAGAGAGAGAGAGCGAGCTGAGTACACACTGCACATATATGTTACAAGCAGTAATGGGATCTTTCAGACTGGAGTGAGGCATGTACCTATAGTCCCATCGTAAGTTCGAGTGCAGCCTGAGCTAAACATTGAGACTGCACTTCCTATAGGAGTAACATCCCTTGGTGGGTATAGTTATGTGCAGTGCCCTAGATGTCATGATCTTACACATCAGGCAAGGGATATGAGCACAGAGCCCGGCTGGTAGGAGCACTTAGTAGCCAGACATCGTCTCATGAGTGACATGGATATGTGCTGGCTGGGGCAGTAGATGAGGGAGCCATTGTCCTTACTACCTCCCATCCTGTCTGCCCAGATCCAGTCTCCTCCCTCCCGCTCTGTTTCTATTTCTGTCCTACTCGCCTCCTCCCCAGGCCTCAGGGGGCCCCTGACTGACTTGAAGCTTTCTTCCATCTTCCCCAGGATTAGGAATATTCACTGCAGGGTACCTATAAGGACTAAGAGGCCCAGGGCACCCACCCTACCCTCAACCAGCTTTCCCTCCCCAGGCAAGCCCTCAGTCACCAGAGAGCCCCTCTCTCATCACCCTCCTTTGTCACCAGCAGACCCTATTCCAGGTAAGAGCCTTCAGACCCCACACAGGTGACCACAGAGCTCTCCTTCCCCAACTCCCTCACTAGGCTGGCTTTCAAGAGCCAAGCTCAGCTAAGGTCATTGGGGCCATTCCCCAGCCTCCAGACACACCTGAGACCTACAGCCACTGCCACTATTTTCTTCCTAGGAAGCAAGGCGGGGGTGGGGGTTCTGGTAAAGGACTCCACCTCCATCTGGTTCTGACTCCTATCTGTGAAATAGGACCACGGATAGCTACCATACCATATTGCGGAGTCAGGGTGGGGCAGGAAATGCCCAGGAGAGAGGGCTTCAATTTGAGGATGGACTCATGAGGCAGCCTACCTGCCTTTTTTTTTTTTTTTTTTTTTAAATTATCGATGTTTTCAAGTTTGAGACAGGGTTTGGCTATGTTGCCTAGATTGGCCTCAAACTCCTGGGCTCAGGTAATTGTACTGCCCCAGCCTCCTGAGTAGCTGGGTGTCTACCAAGCATGATGCATGGCCTCTGCCAGCATCACCTACCTTTTTATTCTTTACGCACTTTGTTGGTTTAGTTTTCTTAATGTATGTAAGTGCATGTATGTAAGTGCACCTGTGTCATGCAATGCCCTCAGAGGTCAGAAGAGGGTGTCAGATCCTCTAGAATTGGAGTTATGGACAGTTGTTAGCTGCCATGTGGATATGTGGGTGCTGAACCTGAATCTTCTGCAAGAGCAGCCAGTGCTCTTAACCACTGAGCCATCTCCCCAGCCCTGGTTTAGGTTTTTGTTGTTGTTGTTTTAACTTTTTATTTATTATTTAATTTATTTATTTAATTTATTTATTTAATTTTGGTCTTTTTTGATACAGGGTTTCCCTATAGCCATAGCTACAGAGGCTGGGAAGATGGCTGAGTGGGTTAAGTGCCTACCATGCAAACATGAGGACTTGACTTTGGATTCCCAGCACCTACATAAAAAGCATATCTATAACCCCATTGCTAGGGGTGGGAATGGACATTGTAAGTGGAAGACCCGTGAAGTTCACTGGCCGGCCAGCCCAACTAAACAGATAAGCACCAGTGAGACACTCCATCTCAAAAAAGAAGGTGATGCCAGGCATGGTGGCACATGCCTTCAAATCCCCAGCAGAAGCAGGTGGATCTCTACAAGACTGAAGCCAGCCTGGTCTACATAGTAAGATCCAGGCCAGGCCAGCTGGGACTACAGGGAGGCCCTGTCTCAAAAAAAAAAAAAAGTGGAGTGCGATAAAGACATCTGATATCTGCCCCTGGCCTCCACATGCACATGTATGGGCAAGCACACCTGCACATCCATGCATAACCCACACACACATAATAAGTAAATACTGCAGCTGGGCCGGGTGTGGTGGTACACATCTTTAGTCCCAGCACTTGGGAGTCAGAGGCAGGAATAGGATCTCTGTGACTTCAAGGCCAGCCTGATCTACATAGTGAGTTCCAGGGCAGCTAGAACTACAGGAAGACCCTCTCAAAAAGGCAAAAAACAAACAAACAAACAAACAAAAAAAACCACAACTGCAGCTGAAATTACTAAAAAATTAATCTCGATTGTCCACCTCCTGGCTATGCCACCACAGACATATTATCTAACTCTTCTGGGGCTCAGTGTCCCCTCCCCCCCAGGACCAAACCCAGGGCCTTGTGCTTGCTAGGCAAGGGCTCTACCACTGAGCTAAATCCCCAACCCCTCAGGGTCCTCGCCTGTAAGATGGAGTAGCAGTACCCAAGTCCTAGAGTTATTGTGATTAAATGACTTAAGCGGTCCTCACATACTGGGCACCTCACTAAGGGTCGACTATTACTCCCCACCTCCACATCTGCCTAGCCTCATGTTATTCTTGATTTAATCTGCCTTGGAGTCTTTCTGATGCCACGGAGGTCACCCCAGGAGCCCCGAGTCTCATGGATACACACACAGGTCAGCAGAGCCGCCTCAGACACAGAAAAAAGTTTAATTCTGCTGCGGCGGAGGGTCCCGGCTCTGATAAAGAGGGGGATTTGGTTTTGGATTTTGCTCATGGGGGATTTATTGGGGGGACAAGGAAGGCAGAGGGAAGAGTCTGGTCCTTCAGTGGGACCTGCCCCGGATACTGGATGGTGAAGAAAGGGAATCAGGAGAGACAGGGACACTGGACAAGAAACAAAAACAAAAATAAGGGCGGGCAGCGGGACAAGAGACGACCATGGGACAGAGAAAGAAGACAGGAGGGACAGAAACATTAGACAGAGGGCGGGATAGAGACAGACGCAGGGAAAGGAGGACCCCTCCCTCCAAACCAGACTGGATGGGACGGGGGTGTAGTGGGGGTGGGGGGCGGAAAGTGGGAGTGAGGGGGATGGGGACTTTAGAGGCCGCCGCGGGACAGAATAAGATCTAGTCCAGCCAGATACAAGAAATAGGCCCCTCGCCCCTGCCCTGGGGTCCCGGGCTGAAGGGGAGAGGGGACTTCGTGTCTCAGTGCTGCAGTGTGGGGGGTCCCCGCCCCTCCCCGCGCTTCGCTGTGTAAGGCACCGGCTCCAGCGAGGTCCGCGAGCGCGCAGGGGGCGGGGCGACGAGGGGCGTGGCCTCGAGCCGCGGCTAGCTCCGCCCCTCGCGGCTCTGTTCTCTCCAGCCGTGCGAAGCATCCTTCTTTCCCCACGCCCCGCCCTCGCTGGGCGGTGGTCCACGGCCTCCAGGCGTCCCGGTGCGCGCCTGCCGGCTCACACGGTACTCTCCAGCATCCACTCGGTACTGGTGAAGGCCAGGCGCGCCCTGGCGGAGCTCAGCCCCAGGTCTCCATCCTCCCCGGCCGCGCCCACTCCGGCCCCGTCCAGGTGCGGCGTGGAGCGGTGGCGCTTTGTCCGCCGGGCGCGGCGCGGGTAACTGTGACTCTGGAACAGTGCCCCGTAGTCCCCGTCGAAGGAATAGCGTTGCTGTGGCCTCGGCCGAGCCGGGGCTCCCCCAGGAACCAGAGCTAGAGTTGGGGGCGCTGAAGCTGGTGGCCCCAAGGCCCCTGAACGGCTCCTCCGAGGACCCGTCCCAGACCGAGGCTCCTCCCCACAAGTTTCCTCGGAAGGCAGCAGACACAGCGAGGTGGCCGAGCCGCCCAGAGAGCGTCCCAGAGCCACCTCTTGTACGGCGGAGGTTGCCTCGGCTGCGGTGGCCTTCGCCTCCACGGCGACAGCGGCGGGGACAGCCACCTCGCGCAGCGCCTCGTAGCAGTCCGGCGCCGGTGGGGCCGACGCCTGCTGCGCGCCTGCGCCATTGGTCTGCGAGCACACGTGGCTGACCCGAGGGGGCGACCTGGAGGTGCCCTTGACGCGGCGGCTGTCCCCATCGCCATACACCTTGTAGCGAATCATGAGCAGAACGATGAAGACGAGGACCGAGGCGACAATGACGCCCCCGATGGCGATGATCATGGTGCCGCCCAAGAAATGGGCCCTCAGAGGGCGGCAAGGTGCAGGGTCCCCAGCCGTCGTGAACTGCACGCAGCCCACCACTCTGGTGGCCGGCAGCGCGGTGGCCCCGTCGTCGTAGACTGCCAGCACACACAGGTCGTAGGCGCGGCCCGCAGCCAGATCATTCACCAGGAAGGTCTGGCTGGTGGAAGGGATCATCCTGCAGGGGGGGGGGGGGGGGGGGGGGGGGGGGGGGGGGGGCGGGGAATCAGGGCGGAGTTAGCCCCACTCTCAACCATGCCCCTTCGCCTTACGCCCCACCCATGGTGAATCAAGCTACCGTGTCTCACCCCTTCTAAGACCAGAGCAGCCTTTCAGTCTCCTCCATCAATATATTGCCAAGGATCACTACTCCTGGCCATCAGCTACATTCCCCTACCTCAGGCTTATCATCCTTGGGTATCACCTACTGGGACATTATCTACTCACATTATCACTCAAGTGCCCTTATTTACATATATGTGCCATTAAAGAGCTTGATGGCCATGGCCATGCCCCCTAATCTGCATGACCTTCCCCTACCTACTTAGGTGGACCTGAGGTCAAAACAGCTTGTTTTCTTCCCATTGGGACAATGGATGGTCTTCTAATTCCTTTTAAATTTTTAAGAAATTTTTGTTTCGTTGCTTTGTTTTGTTTTGTTTGAGACAGGATCTCATGTAGTCCAGGGTAGCCTCCAATTGCTGTGTAGATGTGGATGACCTTAAACATCTGGTCCTCCTTCCTCCACCTTCCAAATGCTAGGATTACAGGCTTACAAGCATGCACAACAATGTCCAGCTTTGTGTATGCATATGTATTGTATGTGTTCCTCTGTGTATGCATGTGTGTATATGTGTTTCTGTGTGTATGTATGTGTACATGTGTGTGTTTACGTGTGTGTATGTGCCTGTGGTAGAGATCAAGCCCAGGTTTTCTGCAAGCACTGTACCAGCTGAGCTACATCCCCAGCCCTGGTTTGTCTTTTTGAGATATTCTTGCTGGTGGGGGGGGACGCAGCGGGTGTGGCCACACCCCACCCTTAGGTAAAAATCTCTCTCCAGGCACAATTTCCAAGCACCTCAACTACATATGCCCACTTGTTCCCCTATAATTGTGCCAGGATGGCAAGCCACACCTTGTATTTGCCACATTGGGATGGTGGTTCTACTGTGCTGGGCTCAACCATGCCTCACTCCTTGTCAGGATGAAAACCAGCCCCATAGGAAAGCCCATCCCTGGACCACCACAACTCACTGAATCATACTCCCCAAATCTCATGCACAATTGAATGAAATAAATGAAGACAAGCAAATTATCTTTTTGCCATAGACTCCTCTCCTCAGATGAGGCACAGTACAAAAAGGATCTTTATCTGCACACATCTGGGCACGAAGCCTGTCTGGGTTTGAATCTCTTCTCTGTCCTCTTGCTAGTTCTGTGACTATGGGCAAATTCTTTAACATCCCTGTGCTCCATTTCTCTCTAATAGGGGCAGTAGGAATTCCCACATCCTAGAGACAGCAAAAGGAATGAATGAGCTAACAGATCCAAAGCCTGGCCTAACGGTATCACTGTGAGCTAATGCCCCACCCAATGCTGCCAGCAGCTCTTGTGGGGCTCCCAGTCTTCTGCCACCTACTCTCCTCTACATCTAAGAACCCCTCCAAGGCCACTCCTACAGGCTCATTTGCTGATCACATCTTGCACAGCCTCTTGGCCATGTCCAGCCTCAGGGAACCTTGATTGACATGCCTAGTACCCATCTTTACAAGCTCTCTTCTCCTGCAAAGGCCCTTAGTGACTCACCAGGGACAAGCACCACCTCTTCCTGTGCCTCAGACCATGCTAGACAAAAAATAAAGCCAAGCCTCATTTCCACCCATGCTTACCTGTTACAGGCCCTCCAGCAGGGCCACCTGCTGGTGCTGAGACCCCACCAGAAATGTCCCATAACTGTTATCAGGAGCCACCCTCCATCCCAAGAATTCAAGCATGGGCCCACATTCAGAAAGCCTCCCCCCCATACACATACACTCTCTTACTCAGTCACCTGTCTTTCCACAGCCTACCCATTCCCCAGCCACCCCAAACCCCTTTTGGGCTTCAATTTCCCCTTGTCCTCTCCTAAGAGGCTTGGATTCCCTTGTTTCTTCTCCCCAGATAACCAGTTGCTAGGGGATCCCCCTTTTTCAAGGACAGTCACTGGCTCCTTAAGAAAGTGTGTGCCCATGAGTCTCTAATTGGCTGCCAGACCAGAGTAAGCAGCCAAGCAGGCTTCTGATTGGATGTCCCCTCAGCCCATGGCTGCAGAGAGGAGGTTAACCCCTGCAGTGCTGCCTTATGTACAGGCACTTGAAATGGATGATGTAGGACTAGAACAGAGGCCCTCAGGGAAGAAGAGTTCTGGGGTCTTGCATGGCTGGGGAGAGGGGGCCATCAAGATCTGCATATATGCAGGGTCTGAACCCTTATCCTACCCCGCCATGTAGTGGCTGTGGGTCAGACAGAAGCAGAAGACAGAAACGGAGAGTCACAGAAACTAAGTTATTGACAGGCCACTTCCCATCCCTGGTTGGCAAACAGTAGGTGTTCAATAAGTGTGTGTTCACAGCATATAAAGAATAGCTCTGCTACTTTCTATATGTCTGAGAGCAAATGATTTCTCCCACTGAGGCTTAATGTCTGTGACTGAAAAGGGAAAGGGGTAGGAGTTTGGCTCAGTGGTAGAGTGCTTGCTTAGAATCTACCAGTAAGGGGCTGGGGGTGTGGCTCGGTGGTAAAGCACCTGCTTAGAATCCACCAGTGAGGGGCTGGGGGCTATGGCTCAATGGTACAGTGATTGCCTAGCATATGTGAGGCCCTGGGTTCAATCAACAGCACCACAAAAATAATAAAAATGAAGTAAAGGTCAGCAAGATGGCTCAGTGTGTAAGGGCACTTGCTGCCAAGTCTGACAACCAGAGTTCAATCCCTAAGACCCACACAGTGGAAGGAGGGAACCTCTCCTGAAAACTGTCCTCTGACTTTGACACGTCTGCCACGATACATGCATGCTCATGTACATACACACACTTATAAAAGAATAAAAGCAATTTAAAATTCTTTTAAATTAAATAAAAAGAGAGGGAGTAATGAAATCTGCTTCGTAGCAAACTTGGGAGGGAAGACTACAATTGCATGTTTGGAAATATTTTATCAAGTTTTCTGTTTGGTTCCTTGGTTTGCATACTCTTTGTAAGACTGAGTCAGTCTAATCTACCTAGGGAGAGCCTAACATGGGATCTAGCACACTGCTGACATCTTACTCAGTGTTGGACGACCATAAGCAAATTGAGGAAGGTAGATACTATTCCTGTAATGGCAAAAAGATCCAGAGTTCCCTGCCAGCCTGGACTACATAGTGAGTTGAAGGCTAGCCTGGGCTACAAGGGCAAGCTCCTGTCTCAAAAACAAAAGGGAGACAGCATCAAGGGGAAAGAGACCTGTGGCAAAAAGACTGACTGCCAAGGATAGAGACAGAAGACACCAAGAGGCGAGCTTTTTGGTAAAGGGCTGAGCACGCTCAAGAGTTAAATTCCCACAGGTGAGGAAATGGTCCCAGCCCCTCTAACATCCCAAAGGAAGTCAAGCACAGGGATAGGCACTCAGTGGGCACTGTAGAGTTAGAGTGCAGAATGGGAAGCATTGACAAGAAGATGTGCCCAAGTAGCCAACAGCCATTTATCAAGTGCCCAATGTATGCTGTGCCAGGCTCTGTGACTGAGAATCATACTGATAAGCTACCAAGATGGAGATACCACAGGACCCAGGCAATGATTCACCATGGGCCTCCATGAGTACCCACTGGGCTGGGTACTCCGAGGGCAGGGGCTGGGGCTTCTGTTTCCTTGGGTCTCAGATGCCAATGGTCACACAGAAAGCAGCAAAGCTTTTTGTGGTTTTATTTCTTTTTGTGGTTTTATTTTCTTTTTTGAAGCAGATTCTGACTGTGTAGTTCTGGATGGCCTTATAGTCTCTATTATAACCCAGACTGACCTCAAACTCGAGATCCTCCCGCCTCAGGTCCCAAGTAAGTGCTTGGATTACAGGCATGGGCCATGATGCCTGCTTTAGATCTTCCCTTTGTATGCCGAACACACACACATTGAATACCTCCTGTTTCCCAGGCAAGGATGGAAGAGGTAGATGATTATTTCTTTAAAAACTCTTGTTTCTGCTGGGCGTGGTGGCACACACCTTTAATCCCAGCAGAGGCAAGTGGATCCTCTGTGAGTTCGAGGCCATCCTGGTCTACAGAGTGAGTTCCAAGCAGCTGAAGCTACAGGGAAACCCTGTCTCAAAAAGTCAAAAATGAAAAAAAAACACTTGTTTCTGTGACTCTCCAACTTACCTTTCTGTTTTCTTCTCTCTGACCCACAGTCACAGCCAGCTCAGGGCCTAGTATACAGAGTCTAAGTGCTTAATGAGGGCAAGATGGACAGGAAAGAGACAGGTTGAGAAGTAAAAACAAGAGAACCCTAGAGATGCTGGGAAGAGGTAACTGATATCCATCTCTCTACACCCTGTTACAGGTCTGTTCACCCAGGCAATGGCTTCTAACTCAGGCCTGTGTGGAAATAACTTACATTTCTATTTTTCTATGTTGTTTTGCTTCCTGTTTCTAGAATGTACCTGATACTGACATATAATTTATAAATGGGAATGTTACTGTAAATACACGTTTTGTATGCCAAAATGTTTACTTGATGGGATTCATGATCGGAAACCTCTGGAGAGCAAGCAATGCTGACCATGGGCCCCATGCAATATTGTTTGGTGGTACTAGGGATGGAACCCAGGGCCTCACCCATGCTGAGAAGAGCCTACCACTGAGTTACACCCCTGGCCTCTCACCACTGGATTCTAGACAAGCTCACTATGACTGAGCTATATGATTCCTGCCCTCTTTCTTTACTTCTTAAATTTTTAATTATTTTTTATTTATGTGTATGTCTGTGTGTATGTGCACACTCATGTGTGCAGGTGCCCACAGAGACTAGAAGAAGGTATTGGATCCCCTCCAGCTGGAGTTACTGATGGTTGTGAACCACCTGATGTGGGTGTTCAGAAGTGCACTCTGGTCCTCTGCAAAAGCAGCAAGTGCTCTTAACCATTGATCCATCTCTCCAGCCCCCACTTTTTAAAAAATTTTGAGACAGGGTATCTCTAACTTGTCCAGACTGGACTTGTTCTTGTAATCCTCCTTCCTCAGCCTCCTAAGTGCTGGGACCACAAGCCTGCACCAGGCACCACTCACTGTTAGAACTCCACTGCCCAGCCCTGCTCTGGCTCCTGTTAAATGTTACACAAACATTTCCTATGTGTATCAAACACAGAGACAGAGAAACAGAAATAGAGACAGGCCTATCCAGAACCTAGACCAAGAACAAAGTCAAGAGGATGAAAGGATAGGTTGGGGGGGAGGGCAGGAGGCCGGGGTTGGAGAGGAGGTCCTGGGGCCGCAGCACCACACCCACCTGTAGACCAGAGAGTCATCAGCAGAGCTGTTGTACTGGACTTGGTACATGCGGATGCCAGGCACCGGCCTCTGGGCTGGCCAGCGGATGAGCACAGAACTGGATGTGAGCTCTGCTGCCACCAACCTGCGCTCGGCAGCTGAGTCATTGGTACCTGGTCGGCCAGGTGTAGCAATGTCAGATGAGCCCGGCTCAGTAAGAGGTGGAGGAGCAGCAGGGGGTGGCGCCATCAGTGGCAGAGGTACCACACATACCTCCACGGGTGCAGTGGCTTCCCCTGCTGCATTGGAGGCGATGCAAGTGAAGGTGCCACTATCCCTCAAAGTGGTGATAGTTACATCCAGCGTCCCGTCCCCACGGACTCGGGTCCGGCTGGAGTTCCCCAGCAGCCGCCCATCAGGTGCCACCCAGTGCACCACGGGCTCAGGATCTCCCACTGCCCGGCAGCGCAGACTGACCGCCTGGCCTTCCACCACCAGTGCCTTGCCTCCTGCCTGCCGTGTGATCAGCGGGGGCTCACAAAGAAACTCCTCCTCTGGGATGGACCAAAAGTAGCGGTCAGTGAGATGCTCCGGAGTGGCGCACGTCTCCAGATCATCCTCCCTGGTCAGGCGCCGAAGCCAGAGGAGTTCACAGTTGCAGTGCAGGGGGTTGCCACCGAAGCTGACCGTCAGAGGTGTGGGTGGCTTGGGTCCACCGCCCTGGGATCTCAAGAAGAGCCCGTCCGGCGGGAGTTTATGCAGACGGTTGGAGGTCATGTCCAGACGCACAAGTTTGTGCAGTTGCACAAAGGTGCCCTCCGCGATATGATCAATGAGGTTGTGGTCCAGTGTGAGGGTATTCAAGTTCACCATCTGACCTACCGCCTCCCACGGCAGAGCCTCCAGGTTGTTATAGGACAGATCCAGGTCTTCTACGGTGGATAAGAATGCATCAAAGGCTGCAGACTCCACCTTGCGGATCTGATTGTTGGCGAGGATCAGGTGGCGGAGGTTCCCCAAGCCACGAAGCTGGTCCCCGCGCACCTCTGCCAGCCGGTTGCTGTCGAGGTGCAAGGCCCTGAGCGCACGGAGGTCAGCAAAGGCTCCCGGCGCCACCTGGCCGATGGTGTTGCGGGACAGGGTGAGATGCACCAGGCTGGTCATGTTGGCAAAGTCTCTGCGGCGCACAGCAGCAATGAAATTGTCTGTGAGACGCAGCTCTACAACCCGCCGGTCGATTGCAGGAGGCACAAAGAGCAGGCCGGTCTTGGCACACAACATAGTTAGTGTTGGTGCCACGTTCTGACAGATGCAGCGACCGGGACAGGGTTGGCCACGAGATGCCCCCGCCCAGAGCAGCAACAGAAAGGGCAAAGCAGCAGGTGGTGGTGACAGGAACCCGGAGGAGAAGGGGCCCAGAGCCATGGTGCAGGGGAGAGGCAGGAAGAGGGGGATGTGAGACCTGAAGAAGGAGACAGTCAACTAGGCTCAGGGCTTGGTCATCACCCACCCAGCCCTGCTAAAAGTCAAACTGGACACCTCCACTTCAAATGACTGGGTTCTGACATGAACAGACTTCAACAGCAGGCAGCAAGCACAGTTTTTTTTTTTTTTTTTTTTTTTTTTTTTTGAAGCCAATTTTTTTTTTTTTTTTTTTTTTGGTATGTATATGAGTGTTTTGCCTACATATAAGTGCACCACCTGCATGCAATGGCCATGGAGGCCAGAAGAGGGTGTCGGATCCCCTGAAACACCCACAGTTGTTAGCTGTCATGTGGGTGCTGGGAACCGAACAGAGGTCCTCTGCAAGAGCAGTCACTGCTTTTAACCCCTGAGCCATCTCTCCAGCCATCTTCACCTTTTTGAGACAAGGTCTCACTAAATAGCCTAGGCTGCCCTACAACTTGCAATACATCCCAGGCTGGCCCTGAACTCATCATGATCCTCCTGTTTTTGCCTTCTAAGTGCTAAGATTACAGTCCTGTTGCCCAGATCAGATTACAAATTTTCCAGATTGGTACATTACCACTGCCTCACTCTGGACTCTTCCACCCTGACCTTTGTCGAGCCCCTAGTATCTCCCTGATGTCTCATAAATTCCCTACCCACCAAATATTCTGAAATCACTGTTGACAGTGATTTTAAGGCCATGGATGTCAAACCCATATTCTCAGTTCAAATCCCAGCTGTGACACTTACTAGCTGTGTGACCTCCAGCAAGTGTCTGAACCTCTCTGAATCTCGGTTTCCTCATCTGTAAAATGAAGATAAGGAACAGGTCTTATTTTGGTGAGGATGATATGGATTCATGAAGGTGGCAGTTAGAACAGTGCCTGGCATGCAAAATGGGCTTAGCACATGCTAGCAATTATTAGTAGCATCATCATCGAGTACCCAATGCATAACAAGTACACATCTGTACACTGTTAGCAAGAGCAAGGGCTTTAAATTTATTTTTATTGCTAGGTGTGGTAGCACATGCCTTTACTCTCAGCACTTGGCAAGTAGAGGCAGGCAAATCACTGGGAGTTTCAGGCCAGCCTGGTCTACATAGCAAGGTCCAAGTCAGTTGGGGCTACATAGTGAAACCCAGTCTCAGATTTTTTTTAATTTAATGTGTGTGCATGACATGTGGGGATGTAGGGGTGCATGCCACTGTGTGCATGTGGAGGTCAGAGGACAACTTTGTGGAATCAGTTCTCTCAATCCACTTTTATGTGGCTTCTGGGGATCAAACTCAGATGGCTAGGCTTGGCAGCAAGCACCTTTACCTACTGAACCATGTTGCTGGCTCACAAGTGCTTTAAAATCAGAGTCAAGTACAAATTCTGGCTCTCATCTACAAGCTCTATGATATCACATTGAGGATTCTCCAGCCTGGGACATTGTTTCTTTTTTTCCTTTTTTTTTTAAATTTCTTTGTTTGTTTGAGATATGAGAGTGTTATAACAGCCAAGCAGGCCTTGAAGTCACAATTCTCCTTAAGTCATAAGTTTTTTTTGTTGTGGTTTTGGTTTTTTGAGACAGTGTCTTATATAGCACAAGCTAGTCCAGAACTTGCTATATTCTCAGGACTAACCTTTGAACTCCAGATCCTCCTACCTCAGCCTCCCAAGTGTCAGGGTTATCAGCATATACTACCACACCCAGAAAGGTCATAATTTCTTTTTTTGGAACACGATGTGTAGAACAGGGTAGCTTCAATCTCACAGAGATCCACCTGCCTCTGCCTCCCCAAGTGCTGGGATTAAAGGCATGCATCACCACACCTGGCCTGCCATAGTTTCTTGAGCTTCTAAATTGAAATAATGCTCCTACCATCTCCACCGAGTTTATACATGGTGGGCAGAGAAGGGAAAAGTAGGAGAGGTTGAAAAAAAAAGAATCAAAGTTTCCCAGCTCAGCCAGGTAAGTCTTCCTCTGAGTCTCAACCCGTCTTTCTGGCTTCACTGAGCTCCCAAGCAGGGCTGGCTCTGGTACTTCATCTGCAGGTACATAGGAGACCCAGACACGCCTATAGGGGCATGCACACATACACTCTGCTCCAGGCAAAAACTTTCATGGGGATTCCCCCTCCAGCAGCTGCAGCCCACGATGTGTCAGCTCCCATCACAACACAGGATGAGTGGGGAGGGGGTGAAGAGGAAAGGATGGGAAGGGGGGGCATCCTCAACACTATCTTCATCCCACCCTGTCCTATGCCCCAGCCTCTGCTGGCCAAACTCCCAGGAATCTGTGTGGGGTGGTAGTCATATGTGGCCTTAATCTTTCTACCCATGGAAAGAAGACTGGGACCAAGAAAGCCAGAAAAAGGCAAAAAGTAGATGCAGAGAGAGGCAGATTCAGAGAAAGGCAAAAAGAGAAAGTCTCCCAAGAAGGTGAAGCAAGCTCAGGGCATGTGGGTGTGGCTCAGTGGTAGAGCACCTGCCAAGAATCCCCCAGTGAGGGGCTGGGGTGTGGCTCAGTGGTAGAGCACCTGCCTAGAATTCCCCAGTCAGGGTCTGGGGGTGTGGGTTAGTGGTAGAGCATTTGTCTAATATGTACAAAGGCAGGGCTCCACCCCTAACACCACAGGAAAAAAGAAAAAACAAGCCAGTTATGGCAGCACACATCTCTAATTCCAACTATCTAGGGGTAAAAGCAGGAAGATTGGAAGTTCAAGATCATTGGCTGATGAGATGACTCAACAAGTATAAGTGTGTGGGGAACAAACCTGAGGACCTGAGTTCAACTCCTACCCAAACCCACATAAAGATGGGAGGAGAAAACCAACTCTGACGGTTGCCCTCTGAACTCCATAGGTTCACCATGGCACGTGCCAGCCACTGCCCCCCATTATAAAATTTAAAAGTTCATTATCATTCTTGGCTATATATATATGGTACTCAAATCTCATCTGGGATGCCTAAAACCTTATCTCAAAACAAATAAAATGGGCTGGCAAGATGGTTCATCACCAAGGATGACACCCTGAGTTCTATCCCCAGAACCAACGTGGTAGGAAACTGCTACAACCTGTCCCCTGACCTCCACACATGCACTTGGTGGCTGAGTGCCTTTATCTGTTGTACCAACTTTCTGGCCCCCAATTTTTTCTTCATATGTCTCTGTGGTGTATGTGTGTGTGTGTGCATACATGTGCACCTGTGTGTGCATGTAAAGGGCCCAAGGTTGAGATTGGGAGTCTTCTGATTGTCCTTCATGCTGTTCATTGAAGCAGGGAGGGTCTTTAATTGAGCCAGAGCTTTCCCACTGGGCTTCTCTAGCCAGCCAGCTTGCTCCCAAGAGCCCCCCTACATTTCAAGTGCTGGAATTGCAGGCAGTCTACCATGCCCAGCCAGCATTTACCCAAGTTCTGGGGATCTGAACTCAGGTCTTTATGCCTCTGCAGCAAGCGCTTTAACTGCTGCACCATCTCCTCAGCCAATTTTTATCTTTTTTTTTTTTTGGGGTGTGGCTCAGTAGTAGAGCATCTGCCTAGAATCCCCCAGTGAGGGGTTGGGGGTGTGGTTCAGAGGTAGAACACCTTCCTAGAATCCCCAGTGAGGGGCTGGAGGCATGGCTCAGTGGTAGTGAACTTGCCTAATGTTCTTGAGGCTCTGGGTTCAATCCCCAGGACTGTAAAAGAGGAACGCTAGGGGTGGTGGTATATACTTGTAATCCCATCATTCAAGAATGTGAGGCATCAGATTGGGAATTTCAGACCAGTCTGGGCTACAGGGCAAGAGTGTATCTCAAAAAGCTAGGGGGGGAGGGGGAAGAGGAGGAGGAGGAGGAGGAGGAAGAGGAGGAGAAGGAGGAGATGATGAAGAGACAAAGCAACAGTGAAGCAAAGGGAAAAACAGTGGCAAGGAAAGAGAAAAGAGACTGAGTCAGAGAGATAGAAAGAGGAAGAGAGGGAGAGACAGGCAAAGGAAAGTGTTAGAGCTAAAAGTAGAGGAAGAGCTGGGTGTGGTGGCCCACGCCTCTAATCCTGGCACTTGGGAGGCAGAAGCAGGCAGATCTCTGTGAGTTCCAAGTCAGCCAGCACTGTATAGTGAGACACTGCCTGAAAAAAAATATGGAGGAAGAAAGATACAGATGGAGGAACACAGGGATGAGGCCGAAGAAAGAAACAGGCAGGGCCAGGGTCACCCACCATTTCTGAGCATAACCCCCTCTCCCGTTTCATTCTCCCCCCTCTAAGTTGATGTTCTGTTTTTTTTCAAGTCTTTTTGGGACAGGATCTCCCTGTAACCCCAGCTGGTCTAGAACTCACTATGTAGACCAGGCTGGCCTCAAACTTGCAAAGATCTGCCTGCCTCTGCCTCCCAGGTGCTGGGATTAAAGGCATGCACTACCACTCCTGGCATTTAAGTTGATGTTCTGGACTAACTAGAAACCCAGGTCTAGAAAGTGGGCCTCACTATTCAGAGCCCTGGCAGTGCACTTGCTTGCTCGTGGGCTCCCCAGGGTCCAGAACCCCTATCAATGAAGCAAGCACAGACTCTCACCTCCTTCGGCTGCAGTGGACTCAGAGGAAAGACAGCAGCATTGAAAACAGCTAATGGTTACCCAAAGGCACTTACTTCAGTACCACTTGTCAGAATCTCATCCCACTGCTGGGGTTCACACCCCAGGTCCTGGCTGTGTGGTTTTGGTGAAGCAACTCCCCTGCCCCCCAGCCTCACTGTACTCATCTGTAAAATAGGGACAATGATGGGACCAAGCTACCTCACCGGTTTTGAGGAGGATCCAAAGAGAATATTTTGGAACACAGCATAGTTCCTGACAAAGGCAATACTACGTACATTGGGGGATTCTAGGCAGGTGCTCTACCACTGAGCCACACCCTGACCCCTCACTGGGGGATTCTAGGCAGAAGCTCTATAAATAAATCACAGCTCCAGCCTTTTTTTTTTTTTTGAAACTGGATCTCACTAAGCTCTCAAGG